AGGCGACCCTGTTCTGCTCTAAATCGGCGCTGTGCTGCTGCAGGAGGAGGAGGGCCACGGTCGGCCGCTGCTGGCAGAGGCCGGCGATGTGCTGGAAATATCGCGCGATCTGCAGCCGCTGGTGGTACGCTGGCATGTTACCGGTGCTGTTGAAGCGCCTGCGGTAAAAAGTGGGTCAATGAAATCATAAGTGAGTCAGTGAAGTGAAAAGTGGGTTAGTGAAGTGAAAAGTGGATAAGTGAAGTGAAAAGTAGGTTGGTCAACCGAAATGTGGGTTGAAATGAAAAGTGGGTTAGAGAAATAAAAATAGTGAAATGACAAGTGGGTCAGTGAAGTAAAGAAGTGGGTCAGTGAAATGAAAAATATGGTCGGTCGTTGATTTAAGAAAATATAGGTCCGACGTGCTCAGAGTGGCACAACGGACAACATGAACTCTGTGCAGTGCAGTACCTTAAGACCTTATGATGAGTTTAGGACTTCCTAGTCCACGGTCAAGCTGATGCGCCGCCTTCGTCGTCCTCCGTCTCCAAGTCGTCGCTAGGCTGGTCACCCCGCCCTCGGGTCCCGGATGTAACGTTGGACGTGTTCCATCTATTAGCACTCCTTTGGGCCAGCTGATGCAAGATGCTGTTGCTTGTCACTTGCTGAGGGTAGTTTCACATTACTGGGCAATCCGGGATCTTCTTCAGAAACTTATCCAGTCGTCTCTTGAAAGTCGCAAGGGCAAACTCCTCTCTCAGCACCTTTGGTAAGGCGTTAAACAGCCTCGGTCTTGCCACCTCACGGAAAGTCTATACTCTGGCCGTGGCTCGGTTATTGAATGGGGGAATCCTGCACAGTCTCTCCCCCCCTTTCGTTGTAACAAGTCACAATTCTGGATGTCTCATATTCAAAGTTGGGAGCCAGTCCGTTTATCATCTTCCAAGTGTATAGTAAAATATACCTCTCTCATTTCCTCTCCAGTGGGTACAGTCCCAGGTGTTTCAGCCTTTCCCAGTAATTCAGGTTCAGCTCCCTCATGCCGCTGATCCTGTACGAACGTGAAGGTACGCCGCACTGCCTCCAGTTTCCGCACCGCACCCGCCTTGAGTGGCGCCCAAAGCTGACAGCAATACTCAAGGTTGGGGAGCACGAGGGCTCTGAAGAGTGCAATCATTTGTGCTGCTTCTCTTGTTCTCACCTCCTGCTCCAGCTGAGGTAGAGGCGGGCCAGTGCAGTGCAGTGCAGTGCAGTGCTCCCCTCCTGCTCCAGCTGAGGTAGAGGCGGGCCAGTGCAGTGCAGTGCAGTGCAGTACTCACTTCCGGCTCCAGCTGCAGGTAGAGGCGGGCCAGTGCAGTGCAGTGCAGTGCCACTACCGCGCAGTGGGCGTCGTGCCGTTCCCACTGCACACTCGCTCGTCGTAGCTGTCAAATAAATGGGTCAAAGCGACTCATTTCTATGATGCAGCACAAAAGTTTCTCATTAAATATTTGCGAAAATTTTTGACCATTTAACGTTAACCCTATTCATATTATAGGAAGAGTAGAGTCGTAAAGAAAGACACTTGATAGACTCGAACCAAACTAATACATTTCGAAATAAATTCAAATTCTGCATATGACCAAATAACGCAACCTAACTTCTTCAAGAGGCCAAAGAACCCAACAGGTACGACTAGTGTACGTTCAGTAAATGGGGCATGTTGTTTAATTATTGACACACTTCTTTAGTAACAAACCGAACCGAGAGAAGACTTAGCAATGATAAGCAAAGTGGGTCAGGATGACCCACACAAAGGTTGAAAGAGCAACGGTGATGGACTAATCAAGTCCCGCTCGTCTAGAACTAACGTAGAATTCGTTGATTTGAATTTGCAAGATCGCACAATTCTTCAGATGACTTTGGTTGAACGTCATCTGAAGAATATTGTTCGATCCTGAAAATTTTATCAATGAATTCTCTGGTCATTTAAACCATCCATGTTTGAACAAGCTTATTCTGCTATCTTATATTAATTTCTGCATCAAAGAGAATGGTGAACATTTGCACACGTTCATTCTATACAGTTCAGAGAAAACGGTGATGAAGCGAACCTGCCTTTTGATTCACAAAACAGGTGAAAAACAGCTGGATCAGCGTTCAAGTGGCCTACAAATTACAAAAAAGTGAAGAGCGGTCTGACGATCGTTTCAATTACCGGCTGTTTGCTGTGAGATCGAACCAGGCTGACGTTATGTTCACGTATGGCCAGCATTCCAAATAATTTGAAAACCGGAATCACGGAGAAATTTCTAGGTGAGCGACCAGCTAATAAAACGCCAGCTTCACCGTTTTTTCGTCGTTTTATCATATGGTGATACGTTATTTTCACGGCGAGGTTTTCGGCGCGGAAACCCGCTTGCGCATCTCACACATTCGCACGACGTACCTCAGCCCCCGCCTCGTTCTCGTCCTTGGAGAAGAGGTTGCCGAGGGACCGCAGCACGTCAAAGATTCCTGCCGCTTCGTCAATCTGCGGAAAAAAATATGCGCCATAGAAGAGAAAAGAATAGCGGTGTCAGCGTTCAATAAGCTATTAGGACTGTCGTCGATTCTTAACATCGCTGATTATTTACAGCTTTTTGCGGTCTCGAACACGCAACTCACGACTCCAATTTCACTGTTCTTAACAGCCCGGCCTCCTCGACTATCGCAGGTAGCTGGGATCGAACCCGTACCTCTCTGCACCAAGCCTGGTACTCTGAACTGTAACCACTTTGAAAATGTCTCCGTAATGTTGGAATGTCTTCGAGAAACGTTTTTTAATACTAAACGGCAGCGTTTCAGTCCACATATATGGTGTGTCACTATTTTGACAAATTGAACTTGTTTTCCTGGGTGTAGGAATGGAGTCATTAGATCAGATGCGTTCTTTAATAATCAACAGTTCCTACCCGAAAAATTATGATCCTGAACTCTATCCCAGAGTACGTTTATCTTAGTACAAATCGTGACGCTTTCTTTCACACGTTTTGCATTAACAAGCGCAGCCACATTGCGGGTTACCTCTTCATCTTTGCCCCAGCCTCTCAGCATTGCTATCCTGGAAAAAAGTCTGAGATCATTTTGAAATTTTCTGATTTAAGAATCGTAATTGAATATTAAAAACGTAAAAGCCCATTCCTGAATCTTCCCATATAGCAGCATCTAACAACATTATTTCTTACAACACGAATATCGCGTCCAAATATCATTATTGATAGATGGAAGGAACTCCCTAAGAAAATTTAGATGCGGGTCCGACTCTGTGATAGGTGGTACCTATCCCAAGTAAGACAACCAAGAAAGTCAGGTCCCTACCTATCCCAAGTCAGACAGCTACGAGAGTCTGGTCGCTACCTATCCCAAGTCAGACAGCTACGAGAGTCTGGTTTCTACCTATCCCAAGTCAGACAGCTACGAGAGTCTAGTCTCTACCTATCCCAAGTCAGACAGCTACGAGAGTCTAGTCCCAACCTATCCCAAGTCAGACAGCTACGAGAGTTTGGTCCCTACCTATCCCAAGTCAGACAGCTACGAGAGTCTAGCCCGTACTCTGGTGGCCACTGGGTGGTACGTATAGGGTTCCGGGAAAGCTCTGGCAGTGCCTATATACCAAAGTGTTAAAGAATAACTCTCCTCTTCCTAGGTAGTGGTATGAAAGGAGAAGCTATTGGATTTATCCGTAACTTACTTTCAATCCCGGCTTCAATTAGTCGCTAAATACACAGAGCACACAGGAAAACTCAGAATTGTCGGTAATAATGCTCATGGGAAATAATTTTCACTCACTACCAATAAATGAATGGAAGAAGAGTCAACAATCAACTAATAGTAAACGGATTAATAAGTGTAACGAAATTTTGGTTTTCTGGAAAGCTGCTATATCGCTATTTACCATAGCATGGGAAAATGGTGTGAATCGGTATAGGCTTTCCACTCTTTGTAACCTCATTGCAAAGCATTTACAACCACAGAGAACATACCAACTTACAGTTGCGTACATGTCCTGTTTGTATAGCAATGCAAGCGACAACGGTTATACAGTTGAGAGATGACGAGACACCACTATATTAAATGTAGAGAAGTTCAGCCTTTTGGCAGCTTGCAGGCTCGGTAGACTTGGCCAAGCGCACTCTAGTCTCACTATCAGGACACTCTTGTCCTACTCTCTGGCGTCTATAAAGTCGGCGAGGAGATTCAGAGAAGAATACGATTTCGGTCTGGTGGCCAAGCAAACCCAAAATAAAGTTAAACCCATTGTAGCGACTCTTGGACAGAAGTCTAGTCGGTACCCAAATTTTGTTAGTGCAATTGAGGTACCTGCTGCTGTACTACTTGACCCATCCCCTGACTCACTTGTATTTCAAGGCCCTGGCGGTCACCAGGCGCTGCAGCACCACCATGTCGCGCACCACGTCCAGCGGGACGTGGTTGCCCACCACCTGCCCCACCACCTGCCCCACCACCTGCCCCACCACCTGCCCCACCAGCGCCACCTGCAGCAGCTGGGGCTCAGCAGCGATGGCGTCGAGCGACGTGACGACGCGAGGATAACTGAAGAGATGAGGAGGGACCCGCACCTCATCACCTCGAGAGGGGCAAGAGATAAATGATGGTGAGGAACCCGCACCTCATCACCTCGAGATCAGGGGCAAGAGATAAATGATTTTGTGAGTCAAGATGACCCACAAAAGTGAGGAAATGATAAATTTCTCCATGATAATTTCTTAAATAACACCGTTAAATAATCTTCTATAACAATACGAAGGAAAACCAAATATTTTTTTATTGCGTGCAGTGCGGTTGCCCTCCGTCCTGCTGTGCGGCGGGCGGCTCTCTCTGTTATACCCTAACAAAATTCAGAGTCGCCCCAGCTTCTGGGGCGGGGGTCGCCCAGTCCCTAACAAAATTCAGAGTCGCCCCAGCTTCTGGGGCGGGGGTCGCCCAGTCCCTAACAAAATTTAGAGTCGCCCCAGCTTCTGGTACTCCAAATCAGAAGCTCACGCGTCTGTAAATTTTCACTAGACATAAGAACTACAATTTTGTGCCGCCTGCTTATCAGTGCCTTCAGAAATCTTCATACTCAGCGGTCGTTAAGTACTTTTAAAACTTTTTATGAACCTGGAGCCATGCTTTCAAAACTCGCTAAGTGAACGTAAGTACTTACGCTCTATTTTCTTGTCTATAATTGGTGGATTTTGCTTGAGAGGCCGTCAATGATTGGCTGATGAACTTACGATCTCTCAACTTTTTTTGAAAGTATAGGCCCGGGAATGTCATGTCATTATAGTTTTATTTGGTTTGCAATGCCTATGCTTATTTTGCTCCTGCGCGAAGTTGGAGTTTTAAGAAAGTATAAGGTCAAGCTAATTTATATCGAAGGATTACAAGGATATACGCCATTATTATAAGGATGTAGGCAAGGATTAGAAGGAAACAATTTACAGATTGAAAATCTTAAATTAATTCAAGAGGAATTTAGAAATTTACATTAGAAAAATTATTAGCCAAAATATTAGGAAATATTATATAGTAGAGAAATTATAAATTAACATTTTCTGGGAATTTATTATTAGCCTAATTAAGATATAAAATCAACATAAAATCAACATAAAATCAACATCAAATCACCATCAAATAAACATCAAATCAACATCAAATAAACATAAAATCAACATAAAATCAACATCAAATCAACATCAAATCAACATCAAATCAACATCAAATCAACATCAAATCAACGTCAAATCAACATCAAATCAACATCAAATCAACATCAAATCAACATCAAATCAACATCAAATCAACATCAAA